GCCCGATTACTCGATTACATTTATTTCTCTTCGTGTTGCTTAACTCAATTTCAGAGCTTTGCTGCCCTGGAATACCTTTTACCTTGCCTAGGTATTTATTTTCGCAAATATCGTGTACATAACCTGTGTAAAAAATGCTAGTACCTATCCCAACACTGCATGTAAACAACACCTTACAACACCTTCACCACGGTCCAGCGCCAGCGTTGTCTATTGTTGCTGTTTTTGTTTTCGTTGTGTTGCTACTGGCACCAATCGGCCACAAAAAAATATAAAATAATCGCATACACTTAATGAGTAATAGCACCAACAAATTTATTGTCTAACCGTCTCGCTGCAGCGCTCCAAAAGTATCTGTATCTGCGGCTGCTCACCCATGTATCCCATGGATCGCCTCCGCCGTGTGGGCTGAAGCCCAAAGGCCTTTTGTGGGGAGCGAGTTCCGCATTTTCAGCTCTGGGAGTTGGGGATCGTTCACTACACATTTTTTGGTTACACTTTATAGCTGTGTATATATATAGCCAAATATTCAAACCTTGAATAATTTATATTATTACGTACTCCAAATTCTTTTACAAAAATGTTTACAGAACAAAAAAACATTTTTAACATTGGATTTAACGCTGCGCTCTAAATTTTCTTTTGAAACAAAAAAAAAAAATATGAAAATTAAAATGTTCAAAAAACACTTAATGTCACATTAAACACAATTATTTTTTTTTTTTAATGAGCTATGGAAAAGCATGAATATGTTTAATACAGCGTTCTCAATGAACACAAAACACAGTGAACACAAAATCAAAAAACGGAGTTTCAAGAAAAACGCGTTTAAAGTTTTAGATACATAAAAATTGTATATAAATATAACTTACGACTTTTTCTAAAAGTGGTAGAAATAAACAAAAATAAAGATATCGTCTTTAATAATAAAAGGTATATTCTTGAATAGCTGTAAAATCAATTAAAATTATTTTCAAAAAATCGATTTTTCCACCCGATATATAAGGTTTCCCCTTAAATCTTGTTGCCTATTAATAGCACGATCTTGTCATTTAACCTTTTCTATCTAGAAACTCTAGTTAGGCGCACCGGAATCTTCCACTACGCTTTATCTTAGATAACTAATATACAATATTATAATATAACACAACCGTCGCTGTATAAGCTTTGATTACCGCTGCGAAGATAGAACATAGAGCAGCTCTCCCCCTAACACAAAACGAGAAAATGGCATTTGGCAATATTTATTCCGCACTGACAAAAGCGCTAAAAATGCTGGCAATTAAATGACAACTGCAAATCAAATGTCACAATATCTTACTCCAGGGGCCCTATTTCACAGTGAATCCCTGACCGCTTTCGCTAGTTGGTTATTATGAGTATTTGTGTACTGTGCGACAAAGCCGAAATTGCAGTTGCAAGTGCTTGGCTGTTGCCGGCGGGGAAAGCGGGCAACGCTACGTATGATTGATGTCTGCACAACTACTCCACCTCCTGCCCGTGGAACGCATCGATAATTAACCAAGCGTCCACCCCACAAAGTGCCTGAAAAGTAGGTAAAGATGAGCTTATGTTGATGCTGAGGCTGCGTTGTGCCAAAAAGGAAAAGTTTCTAGCTGCCAGGTGTGTGTGTGTGTGCGTTTTTTGCATTTTTTTTCCGGGCATGCGGAAAAACTTGTTTTTTATTTTCGTTTTTGTTTTTAATGCAGCTTGCGCGCCGTTTGATAGATTTTCGTTCGGTCGTTCAAGCAAAGGGCAACACAGCTGTTGGATGAACATGAACTGGCGAGTCGGCGAGATCCCCGCCGGTCCCACCAAATTAATTCCATGATCGCTAACACTTCCTGGCCCCGATGCCAGTCGTCGTCGTCGTCGTCCATTTGCCACACTTCCATTTCTGTTTCAGCCTTATGAAGTTATTACGAGACTCCGTTCACCTGGTGTGTTAGTGGGTGTATTCGGAAGTGCATTTGCCCCAACTGCATGGGCGTGGCTGCGGCAGGTGGGAAAAATTCGCGAGTGCCTGAGTCATCAAGTCTGGCTAAACCAGAGCGGAATGCAAGAGAAAGGAGGGCCACCCTGGAAATATTTCAAAATTAATAAAGTTTCAAAATCAATAGAAAAATATAATATAATATATAAAAAGTAATCTATCGAGCTTTTGTTATAATTAAGTACAACAACTTAATCTCCATGCTTTGGGGAAAGTTGTTTAGTATTTGTATTGGCTTAAATACGATATTCACTTTAAGAGTATAATTTCTAAAAATTTAATCAATGATGCTCTTTTGATTTTTTATACTTAGGTCAAATGACACTTTTATTGAAATTGTAATAAATGTTAACTATAACTGTGAGCTGCATCCGAAATCGAGTCAGCAAAGCGCGAAATTAATTATGGGAGCAGGCCCACACAGCCGATTGGTGGCTGCGACCCAGTCTGAGATCAGAGAACCAGATGCATGTAGAGATAGAGGCTGGGACGGAGCGGAGTCTATTTGCAGTGACACGAACTGAGAAGCTAAGACTGAAGCAAAAGCATTGGCCTGATTTGAGACGCCGACGACAGCAGCGGAGACAAGACAACAGACAGACGACAGACGAGCGAAACAGCCAAGACAGAGGCTGTCAAAGCAGCTGGCTTCAGGCCCCAATTGGCAACTGGAACTACTGCATCCGAAATGATCCACAGGAGGGGCTGCGTGAGCCCGACTAGAGTAGAGCAAGCCAAGCAAACATTGTGACCCCAAGTGGAGAATGTGGAGCACACTCATTTTCTGAATAAATATTAAAGTTAATACAAACCACATTCGAAAAGAGGAATTTAAGTTCAAGATCACATGCACGAATCTCAAAGTCTAAGAAGGCAGAACTCGGCTAAAGCGCATTATTCGTATTTTCTGGATATAACCTTAACCCTGAAGTAACTTTTATAGTTATTCGGATTGGCAAACAAAATTGAAGTTCATTTAAACCAATTCGGAGACTGTTTTTAGACGCTCAGTATTAATGGTAATCCTTTGGTGTCGGAGATTGGAGTTAGAATGCCGTCCCACCAAACCTGTTCGCTGATTGATTGATGGCTGTTGATTATGCACTACTCGCTTTGACAAATCAAAAAATCAGCAGCGCCAGCTACAGATTACCCAAGCCATGGAGCAAGTCGGACGAGCCAGGCGCGCGCATTTTCCGAGATTCAAATTCCAATTCGAATACCAATACCAATTCCAGCTCTGACTCCAAATCGGATTCCACTCACTCGGAACGGGTAAGGGGCGTAATGAAGGCAAATGAAAATCATCGGCATAATGTGGTTGGTACTGGTGCCCCTGTACGCTCCTCGATTACGTCTTAAGTGGGCCCCATGAAAACGCCATTGAGTGCATGGACTGTGGAGTGCGGAGTATGCACTGCGATTACAATTCACTATTCACAATTTGCATAACAACAACATGGGAAGGGAAAGCTTGGCTCTGCTCTCAACATGAATTCAATTTCGGTTCTGCAGCAGTTGCAACACGGATCGTAGACAGACTTATGACAGATCCAACAATTTGACAACAGTTGTAATTTTGTTTGTTTCTCGGTTTATTTTTCGCCATAAGAGTACCCCACGCGCGTCCGCAAACAGAAACAACAAACCCACGAAAATCTGTAGTTGCCAGTGGAAATGGGGTAGAAATGCATGGTTCGAATTAAGTGCTGCAGAATATGACGATTTCTGCTCTGTATCTTGTGGGTACCAGACAAATTTGAAGTTGTCTCTGATAGAATTAAATAAGAAATAATATCAGGGACCAAAAATAATCGTAAGTATTTTTAATTTAGTGTTTTTATTGTCGAATTATGATTATTTTCTAAGGGAAATAAAGTAACTTGAAAGTTGTTGCTTATTATACCCTTGCAGAGGGTATTATAATTTCAGTCAGAAGTTTGCAACGCAGTGAAGGAGACATCTCCGACCCTATAAAGTATATATATTCTTGATCAGCATCACTAGGAGAGTCGATCTAGCCATGTCCGTCTGTCCGAGCCGAATCGGACGACTATAGCATATAGCTCCCTTAGGAACAATCGGAAAATTATAGCTTTGCTGTTTTTAAATTTTTCTTTTAGTTCTTCGAGATATAGTAATGGTTAAATATTTCAGAATTACGATTTGAATTTCATCAAAATCGAACGACTATAGCATATAGCTCCCATAGGAACAATCATAAAAATAAATAAAACAAATTGTAACTTTGATGTTTTTTAATTTTTTTGTTAGTTCCTCGAGATATATTAATAATAATTAGTAATTTAAATTTCATCAAAATCGGACGACTATAGCATATAGCTTTCATAGGAACAATCGTATAGCCGCCCTAGGAACTATCGAATAATTAAGCTGCAAATCATTATAGCTTCAATGTTTTTAAACATGCACGCAAGTAAATCATAATTTTAACGTTTTAAAGAGTATTTAGTTTTTGAAATAGCTGCAAGGGTATATGAACTTCGGCTTGCCGAAGTTTGCTTGCTTTCTTGTTTTTGAATAAAATGTATGTGATTGCTTATAAATATAAAATTTTTAGGACGTGGTTTTAGCATTTTCGAAAAAACTGTTTCTCGAAATTAAATTAGCCAGCCCATGAGTCGATGGCCACATTAGAAATTAGAGTGATTTGGTTGAGTTAAGACCATGGATGAAACAAATGTGCAACTGCGATTGCATTTGCGTTCTTGGCCCGTCGTTGGGCTGTTTGTCTGGTCTTGCCATGACTTGGTTTTGTTTTCTTGGCTCGGTTGGCTGGTTGGCTGGTTGGCTGCTTGTTGGGTTGTTGGGTTGTTGGGTGCTTTATGCTGTTGCTTTGGCATTAGGCGGCTGGCGTTGACGGACATTTGTCTGGCCCGACACCTCGGCCTGTCAGTTGGCATTAGCGGGCTGTCACAATGTTGTGGGTGGGACAATACTTGCGCAAAATTGCGACTAATCTTCTTTCTTCTCTTTCTGCTTGCAGACACTACAGGGGAGTTCCAGCGTGTGCATCAATGAGCAGGACACGCACAGTGCCAGCAGAAAGATACTGCAACCAAGTCCAGAGAGCACTCTAGAGAAGTCCACCGCATCTGTGACCGGTCTGAACAGCAACTGCATTGCCGTCAATGGCGGAGTGGGAGTAGGAGGAGGAGGAGCAGCAGCAACTGCAACCACAAGCAGTGCGGCTGGAGTGACCAAGATAACAATAACCAGTGACGCCGCCAAGACCAGCAGCACAGGCAACTCCAGCAGCTACAAGAACAGCAGCTTGGTGTCCATCACCAGCTTAAACAGCGGCAGTGACCTAAGCCAGGGCAGCACCGCCACCCTGCCCATCAGCAGCAGTGGCTGCAGCATCAGCAACGTCAGCGGACACCCCCTCAGCAGCAACAGCAGTAGCAACAACAATAGCAACAGCAACAACAACAGCGGCAGCGACACCTCGTCCAACAACTTCCAGGAGCGGTTCGACTTTGAGCACTGGAAGGGCCTACTCAGTGACTACAACTGCTTTCACGGGCTCTATCGCTATTGGAATCAGTACAGCGGACGCAGCGCCACTAGCCGCGACAGCGTCAACGGCACTCAACAACAGTCACAGTCACAGTCCGACCACGAGAATGGCCTGGGCGGTGAAGCCGGTTCCTTCTACACACACAACATACTAGGCTACACCTTCGGCTATCCGTTTGGCCTAAAGGAGGACCTTGACGGCCACAGCAACTGCAACAGCAACTGCAACGTCAGCGGCAACGGCAACGCCAATAGTCTTGGCCTCAGAAAGTGGCTTTCAGGCAGTGCCAGCAGCAACGAGACTCCGCTCCAGAAGCACTACAGACACCAGCAGAAGAAGAAGATGCCCGTGTTCAGGGGCAGGAGGGCGTGGTGCGGCTGCTTCAAGGTGGGTGGAATCCAAAGTTGTCACTGATAGTTTCAAAGACCCCTTTAGGGCAAGGCAGCTAGTTCAGAGAGTGCTGTGAGCCACGGTCAGCACTTGTTAGGTCCCTCATCGTGCATGTACAAATTAGGTAATAATATACTTCAAATTAGAATACTCTGCCAAAATATGGAAATTCAAGCACACCTGCAAAACATTAAGGCGAAGTCACGTGCGGAACTCAGACACCCGATTGGTAACCGAAACCGGAGCTGGCACTCGAGCACTGCCTCAACCTAAGCCCTCCTTTCAACCTCTCCCGCTTTCCCCGATTCTGTGTCAGCAAATTTTTAAAATTTCGCACGAAGTTGCTCAAGAGGACTGGAATCGATTCGAAAAGAAGTATAAATTTGGGAATTACATGTTGCTCCATGCCAGACTACAATAAATATCTTTGCCAACGGCATCCCAATTTTGAAGCGGCATAACTCTTCAAGTTTGTGGATAAATTCTCCAAGTATCGACATTTAACTTTTTTGCTTTATTTTTTAAGGTGATTCGATCTGCTTAGTGATATACTACCAAAATAGCCTAGTTAAATTTCCAATAAAGCTGTGTAAAAAAAAATTGCAAAGAGTACTATAATTTCAGTCAGAAGTGCAACGCAGTAAAGAAGACATTTCCGACATTATAAAAAATATATATTCTTACAAAGTCGATCTAACCATGCTCGTCTTTCCGCACGTCTGTCTGTTTCTACGCAAGCGAGTCTCTTAGTTTTAAAGCTATTTGAATGAAACTTCCAAAAGTCTTATTTCTATTGCAGGTACTATATATATCGTGATGGTTTAGTATTTCAGAGTCATGGTTTTAATTTTATTCAAATCGGACATCGACAAAGCTTTATTGTATTGTATTTAAACTTATACGCACACAAATCGAAATATAGTCGTTTTAATTTAATTTTTTTAATAACAGCAAGTGGTTTTATGGCTATTCCATGTTATTTTAGTTATTACTGTTCTTAACTACAGTAGTACTTATACCAAGCCACAGCTATTTAAATACTGTAATCACTCATTATAGACATATTATACTACTTAGCAGAACCTTTTTTCAAAAAACAAACAGCAAAAGTAGAAAACCAAGAACCAAGAATGAGTCAGCGGCTGGACTGTTCGCCTGAATGGTTGCCATGAGCAGGTAGCAGAACCGCTTCCCGAGCTGGCGGATTAGGTCTTGGTTTTTGGCTTGGTGAGGCATTTAGCTTGAGGTTGGGCAATGTCTTTGTCCAGCATGGAGGGGTTCTGCCCTCCATTTGAAAACGCGCTGCTGACGCTTGCTAAACCGGCCACTAATCGATTTTTCTGACTTTTCCGTTCCAGGATGATGAGCCGCCCGAGATTTGTGTGGTGGAGGGGGCGTTTACCCTGCAAACGCTCACGCCCACTCAACCCATGCCGTCGGTGGATGAGCTGGACACAAAGTTCGCGGAGCTGGTGGAGGAGCTCGACCTGACTGCTCCCAACAAGGAGGCAATGCTGAGCCTGCCCGCGCAGAAGAAGTGGCAGATCTACTGCTCGCGGAAACTGCCCCTGGATGCAAGCGATGGTCCCGATGCGGCGACCATCACCCAGCCCCCCACCGCAGAGCACTACATCGAGCGCCTGAAGGAGTTGGTGGTGCACATATCTCTCTCGCCGGAGGACTCTCCCAGCCATGAGCTGGGAAACCGCTTGGACGGTCATGCCGCCTTTGTGGACGCCCTAAAGACGGCCCTGCGCACCTCCACGCACAGCTTCGTGCTGCGATTTGTAGAGCTGGACGGGCTGCCGGCCCTGCTCGACCTCCTGCTGCAGCTGGACATCCGGGTGGCGAACAGTCCGCTCCACACCAGTCTCATCGGCTGCATCAAGGCGCTGATGAACAACTCGATGGGACGGGCGCACGTGCTGGCCCATCCAACGGCCATTGACACCATAGCCAGATCCCTGGTGGCGGACAACATCCGCACCAAAATCGCCGCCCTGGAGATCCTGGGTGCCGTGTGCCTGGTGCCCGGCGGACATCGCAAGGTGCTGCAGGCCATGCTCTACTTCCAGGAGTTCGCCACGGAGCGAACCCGTTTCCAGAGCATCGTCAACGACCTGGACCGCTCGACCTACGCGTACAGGGAAAATGTCAATCTGAAGACAGCCCTCATGTCGTTTGTGAATGCGGTGCTGAACTACGGACCTGGACAGGAAAACCTCGAGTTTCGGCTGCACTTGAGGTACGAGTTTCTCATGCTGGGCATCCAGCCCGTGATTGACAAGCTGCGAACACACGAGAACGAGACGCTGGACAGGCATTTGGTGAGTACACGCAAAGACAAAGATCCCCACTGGCTGGTCTTCCTTCAATACAATTCCGTGTACCCGTGTACCTCCTGCAGGACTTCTTTGAGATGGTGCGCGCCGAGGACGAGAAGGAGTTCGCCCGCCGCTTCAATGAGGAGCACGTGGACACCAAGAGCGCCGGCACCATGTTCGACCTGCTGCGCCGCAAGCTCAGCCACTCGCCCGCCTATCCCCACATGCTTTCCCTCCTTCAGCATATGCTCCTGTTGCCCTGTAAGTAGAATTTCTCAATGGTTTCATTGATGGACTTCCATCTAATCCCGGTCGACTTCCCCAACTGCCAACAGACACGGGTCACTGCACGGAGCACTGGCTTCTGATAGACCGCGTGGTGCAGCAGATTGTGCTGCAGGTGGAGCAGCGGCCGAGCAGTGACCTTATCCCCGACCCGGATGACCTAGGAAAGCAGCTGAAGCTGGCCGCCGACTCGCCAGTCCACGATCCCGACGTGGCCCCGCTGCAGATCGACGTGGCCAAGCTGGTGCGTCTGTTGGTCAAGGAGGAGCAGCTGACGCAGGCGCGCAAGCGGGCCGACGAGCTGGAGCGCGAGAACTTCGACGTGCAGTCGCGACTGGCCAAGAAGGAGCAAGAGCTCGACCTGCGCATGCAGGAGAAGGAGGACCTGGAGACGGGTCTGGCGCGCATGCGCGAGCGTTTGGAAAAGGAGTCCGCGCAGCACTCGCAGGCGGTGCAGCGGGCGCAGACCGCCGAGATGCGGGCGGAAGACTTGCAGCACCGCCTGCTTAACGAGCAGCAGGAACGGTCTCGTCTAGAGCGGCTGGTCACGGAGGGCAGCATACCCGACGACCAGAAGGTGGCCGGTCTCACTGGCTGCAATGGGGCTGTGTCGCCCCCGCCGGCGCCACCCATGCTCAAGGCCATCCCGCCGCCTCCGCCACCCATGGCGCCGGCCATGATGCCTCCGCCGCCACCTCCCTGCCCGGGAGCTCCTCCTCCGCCACCGAACATGGCACAAACGATGGGTGAGTTGCATAGCGTAGTGTATTCTGTTCCTAATAACTCTAACAGTAACTGTATTTTGGTGCTTCTACAACAGCTCCTGCGCCACCAAAAGTGGATCTGCCAAAGAAAAACGTGCCACAGCCGACGAACCCGTTAAAAAGCTTCAACTGGTCGAAACTGCCGGACGCCAAGCTCCAGGGTACCGTGTGGAGTGAGCTGGACGAAAGCAAGCTGTACAACAACATGGAGTTGGAGTCAATAGATAAGCTGTTCTCGGCCTACCAAAAGAACGGGGTGTCGGTGAGTCGAAATCGATATCGAAATCAAAATACGGGGCTCTGTCCTATGCCATTCCCTACTAAGACCGTCTCCCCCTCCCAGGCCACCGATGGATCCTACGAGGATTTGCGGGTGACTGGCAAGTCGACCAAGCAGAAGGTGTTGTCGGTGATCGACGGACGCAGGGCGCAGAACTGTACGATCCTGTTGAGCAAGCTGAAAATGAGCGACATGGAGATATCAAAGTAGAGTAGTTGACGAGTAGTAGTTCACAATCCATACTAACATATACTAACCACTCCAATTGCAGAGCCATTCTCTCCATGGACAGCAACGAGCAACTGCAACTGGACATGGTCGAACAGCTACTCAAGTTCACGCCCTCGGCGGAAGAGCGGGCTTTGCTGGACGAACACAGTGAGGACATTGAGTCTCTGGCACGGGCCGATCGCTTCCTCTACGAGATATCTAAGTGAGTTTTATTTGATTAGTTGGTGACTGTATTCACTCATCCATTCATCTATAGAATCCCCCACTACGAGCAACGACTGAAAAGTCTGCACTACAAGAAGCGTTTTATGCTGACGATCAACGATCTGATCCCCCGCATCACTAGTGTGATGGAGGCCTCTCGCGAGGTGGCTCGATCCCGTCGCCTGCGCAAGCTTTTGGAGCTGGTCCTGGCCTTGGGTATGCTTCACTGGCTAGACAGCTGTCTAATCCTCTCTTACAAATTATCACAATCGAATTGAATTCCACCAGGCAACTACATGAACCGCGGGGCACGCGGAAATGCCTCTGGTTTCCGACTGGCCTCGCTCAACCGCCTGGCGGACACTAAGTCCAGTGCCGCCAAGGGCACAACCCTGCTGCATTATCTCGTCCAGGTGATCGAGCGCAAGTTCAAGGACCTGCTGAAGCTGGAAGACGATATTCCTCATGTGCGCGAGGCCTCCAAGGTGTCGTTGGGAGAAATGGACAAGGACATTCAGATGCTGCGCACGGGCCTGGCAGATGTGGCGCGCGAGATCGAGTTCCACCGAAGTTCGGGTCCCGCCCAGCAAGGTGATCGTTTTCTGCCCGTGATGCGCGAGTTTCACGCCCAGGCGTCGGTTCGTTTCGCGGAGCTAGAGGACAAGTTTCAGGACATGAAGACACGCTTCGACCGGGCGGTGCGCTTGTTCGGCGAGGACGGATCGGTTCTGCAGCCGGATGAGTTCTTCGGCATATTCGACTCCTTCCTCGGCGCATTCGCAGAGGCGCGGCACGACAACGAGAGCTTCCGCCGGCGCCAGGAGGAGGAGGAAAAGCGCGCCAAGCAGGAGGCGGAGCTCAAGAAGCGCACAATCGAGCGCAAGAACAAGTCCGGTCTGATGAGCAGTGTGGCCCGCAATCTGGGTCTCAAGTCTGGGTCGCCCACCGGCAGTCTGGATTCCCCAGAAAGGGGCGGCGGCGGCGTCAATAAGGGCGAGTTTGACGACCTCATCTCGGCCCTGAGGACCGGCGACGTCTTTGGCGAGGACATGGCCAAGTTTAAGAGGTCGCGCAAAGCGCGCGTTCTTAACGGCGGCGGCGCCAACACCGGACACACCTCGCCACCCCGCCACGGCAGCCTTCAGCGCGAAGAAAGTGGACGCGAGCGCGAACGGACCGTAAGGCGCCAGTAAGCACGGGGCGGAGGTCTAGAGAGGTCAAGATTATGATTAAATAGATTTCCCTCTTGCTCCAACCCCGCTGTAAAGTAAAGTTTTCATTAATAACTGCGCGCAACTATTTTTTTTCTTACACGGTAAAAACACTTTGTAATTATTTATATCTACTATTTGTACGCATACAATTATACAATTATATATACCTACATATATAGCACATAATCTAAACGTAAAGCTCGGCTAATGCAAGCGTTAAACCAAATTTTTACAAACAAAAACTTAATTGTAATTTAAAGTCTAAAGAGTTGTTATGAACTAATCTAATCGTCGTGGAGCGGATATTCATGTGTAGCAAACCATTGAAATTGTATTTGGCAACTATACGGCATCCATGCTTATTTATCTGTACACAACTAGTGCTATACATAGAACCGATTTCTCGGTGCGCCTTCATCCTTGTCGAAGTGCAATCCTGTAAAACCCAAAGCGGCCCTCAGCAGCATAATCAATGCACATGGAAGCGCTCTTGAGTTCGGAGAAGCTCGCCGGCCTGCCATAAAGTCATGTTCATAATTAAGATCTATATTGTTTGTTTTTTTAATTTTTTTTTTTTAGCACGAGATCCAGTTGTACTTGCATCGAACATACAGAAATTTTAGAGCGCATTAAAAGTTTGCACATACATGTGCCCTCAGTATCTTTTATTGATAATTACACCTTAACAAATTAACAAATTATAATAAACATTTATTGTGAATAAAATAAACTCTTCACATTTCTTTGTTAATTATTTTTAATAGCTATAAAAATAGTAATGTTACTATATATATAAAATTGGTCGGCTGGCGAATTTTGGGGCTTAATATTGTTTTTTTTTTTACTATAAAAATAGTAATATTGCTATGCATGTAAAATTTGACAACTGGCGAATTTTGGGGCTTAATATTGATTTTTTTACTATAAAAATAGTAAAGTTACTATACATGTAAAATGGTCGGCTGTCGAGTTTGGGGCTAAATATTATTTTTTAACTATAAAATAAGGAAAGTTATTATACATGTAAAATTGGTCGGTTGACGATTATTGGGTCTGAAAATCGTTTTAATTGAAAATCTGAAAAATTTTTAACTGAGAACGCCATTTGATTGGCAATTTAATGACGAATTCGCCGATGTATGACATTCCACCTGGTGACCAATTTTTCCCAAGGTTTTGATACAAAATACCTTAAGCGTCCTTTTGTTGTAACTTCGCCAAAATAAGAGGTAGAGCAATAAGATTGACTGTTTTGGACAGCTGGCAACCTATACTACCATCTGCAATCGGTTTAGAGTCATTCATTTGGTTTTAATAAGAAAAATCGATTTTTCAAAATAGACTTTTTGAAAAATTAACGTTATGACCAATTTTTGCATTTTTGATAAGGGGGTACATCATCATTTTTTGCGAAAAATTTAAAATCTGAAATTTTTAACTGAGAACGCCATTTGATTGGCAATTTAATGACGAATTCGCCGATGTATGACATTCCACCTGGTGACCAATTTTTCCCAAGGTTTTGATACAAAAACCGATATTTTAAGTGCTTTTTTTGGGATTTTGGAGATTTGACAAATAAAAAATACCTTAAGCGTCCTTTTGTTGTAACTTGGCCAAAATAAGAGGTAGAGCAATAAGATTGACTGTTTTGGACAGCTGGCAACCTATACTACCATCTACAATCGGTTTAGAGTCATTTATTTGGTTTTAATAAGAAAAATCGATTTTTCAAAATAGACTTTTTGAAAAATTAACGTTATGACCAATTTTTGCATTTTTGATAAGGGGGTACATCATTTTTTGCGAAAAATTGAAAATCTGAAAAATTTTTAACTGAGAACGCCATTTGATTGGCAATTTAATGACGAATTCGCCGATGTATGACATTCCACCTGGTGACCAATTTTTCCCACGGTTTTGATACAAAAACCGATATTTTAAGTGCTTTTTTGGGATTTTGGAGATTTGACAAATAAAAAATATCTTAAGCGTCCTTTTGTTGTAACTTGGCCAAAATAAGAGGTAGAGCAATAAGATTGACTGTTTTGGACAGCTGGCAACCTATACTACCATCTGCAATCGGTTTAGAGTCATTCATTTGGTTTTAATAAGAAAAATCGATTTTTCAAAATAGACTTTTTGAAAAATTAACGTTATGACCAATTTTTGCATTTTTGATAAGGGGGTACATCATCATTTTTTGCGAAAAATTGAAAATCTGAAAAATTTTTAACTGAGAACGCCATTTGATTGGCAATTTAATGACGAATTCGCCGATGTATGACATTCCACCTGGTGACCAATTTTTCCCAAGGTTTTGATACAAAAACCGATATTTTAAGTGCTTTTTTGGGATTTTGGAGATTTGACAAATAAAAAATACCTTAAGCGTCCTTTTGTTGTAACTTGGCCAAAATAAGAGGTAGAGCAATAAGATTGACTGTTTTGGACAGCTGGCAACCTATACTACCATCTACAATCGGTTTAGAGTCATTTATTTGGTTTTAATAAGAAAAATCGATTTTTCAAAATAGACTTTTTGAAAAATTAACGTTATGACCAATTTTTGCATTTTTGATAAGGGGGGTACATCATCATTTTTTGCGAAAAATTGAAAATCTGAAAAATTTTTAACTGAGAACGCCATTTGATTGGCAATTTAATGACGAATTCGCCGATGTATGACATTCCACCTGGTGACCAATTTTTCCCACGGTTTTGATACAAAAACCGATATTTTAAGTGCTTTTTTGGGATTTTGGAGATTTGACAAATAAAAAATACCTTAAGCGTCCTTTTGTTGTAACTTGGCCAAAATAAGAGGTAGAGCAATAAGATTGACTGTTTTGGACAGCTGGCAACCTATACTACCATCTGCAATCGGTTTAGAGTCATTTATTTGGTTTTAATAAGAAAAATCGATTTTTCAAAATAGACTTTTTGAAAAATTAACGTTATGACCAATTTTTGCATTTTTGATAAGGGGGTACATCATCATTTTTTGCGAAAAATTGAAAATCTGAAAAATTTTTAACTGAGAACGCCATTTGATTGGCAATTTAATGACGAATTCGCCGATGTATGACATTCCACCTGGTGACCAATTTTTCCCACGGTTTTGATACAAAAACCGATATTTTAAGTGCTTTTTTGGGATTTTGGAGATTTGACAAATAAAAAATATCTTAAGCGTCCTTTTGTTGTAACTTGGCCAAAATAAGAGGTAGAGCAATAAGATTGACTGTTTTGGACAGCTGGCAACCTATACTACCTTCTGCAATCGGTTTAGAGTCATTTATTTGGTTTTAATAAGAAAAATCGATTTTTCAAAATAGACTTTTTGAAAAATTAACGTTATGACCAATTTTTGCATTTTTGATAAGGGGGTACATCATCATTTTTTGCGAAAAATTGAAAATCTGAAAAATTTTTAACTGAGAACGCCATTTGATTGGCAATTTAATGACGAATTCGCCGATGTATGACATTCCACCTGCTGACCAAATTTTCCCAAGGTTTTGATACAAAAACCGATATTTTAAGTGCTTTTTTGGGATTTTGGAGATTTGACAAATAAAAAATACCTTAAGCGTCCTTTTGTTGTAACTTGGCCAAAATAAGAGGTAGAGCAATAAGATTGACTGTTTTGGACAGCTGGCAACCTATACTACCATCTACAATCGGTTTAGAGTCATTTATTTGGTTTTAATAAGAAAAATCGATTTTTCAAAATAGACTTTTTGAAAAATTAACGTTATGACCAATTTTTGCATTTTTGATAAGGGGGTACATCATCATTTTTTGCGAAAAATTGAAAATCTGAAAAATTTTTAACTGAGAACGCCATTTGATTGGCAATTTAATGACGAATTCGCCGATGTATGACATTCCACCTGGTGACCAATTTTTCACAAGGTTTTGATACAAAAATCGATATTTTAAGTGTTTTTAAGTGCTATATATATATATATATATATTTTAAGTGCTTTTTTGGGATTTTGGAGATTTGACAAATAAAAAATATCTTAAGCGTCCTTTTGTTGTAACTTGGCCAAAATAAGAGGTAGAGCAATAAGATTGACTGTTTTGGACAGCTGGCAACCTATACTACCATCTGCAATCGGTTTAGAGTCATTTATTTGGTTTTAATAAGAAAAATCGATTTTTCAAAATAGACTTTTTGAAAAATTAACGTTATGACCAATTTTTGCATTTTTGATAAGGGGGTACATCATCATTTTTTGCGAAAAATTTAAAATCTGAAAAATTTTTAACTGAGAACGCCATTTGATTGGCAATTTAATGACGAATTCGCCGATGTATGACATTCCACCTGGTGACCAATTTTTCCCAAGTTTTTTATACAAAAACCGATATTATAAGTGCTTTTTTTGGGATTTTGGAGATTTGACAAATAAAAAATACCTTAAGCGTCCTTTTGTTGTAACTTGGCCAAAATAAGAGGTAGAGCAATAAGATTGACTGTTTTGGACAGCTGGCAACCTAAACTACCATCTGCAATCGGTTTAGAGTCATTTATTTGGTTTTAATAAGAAAAATCGATTTTTCAAAATAGACTTTTTGAAAAATTAACGTTATGACCAATTTTTGCATTTTTGATAAGGGGGTACATCATCATTTTTTGCGAAAAATTGAAAATCTGAAAAATTTTTAACTGAGAACGCCATTTGATTGGCAATTTAATGACGAATTCGCCGATGTATGACATTCCACCTGGTGACCAATTTTTCCCAAGTTTTTGATACAAAAACCGATATTTTAAGTGCTTTTTTTGGGTTTTTGGAGATTTGACAAATAAAAAATACCTTAAGCGTCCTTTTGTTGTAACTTGGCCAAAATAAGAGGTAGAGCAATAAGATTGACTGTTTTGGACAGCTGGCAACCTATACTACCATCTACAATCGGTTTAGAGTCATTCATTTGGTTTTAATAAGAAAAATCGATTTTTCAAAATAGACTTTTTGAAAAATTAACGTTATGACCAATTTTTGCATTTTTGATAAGGGGGGTACATCATCATTTTTTGCGAAAAATTGAAAATCTGAAAAATTTTTAACTGAGAACGCCATTTGATTGGCAATTTAATGACGAATTCGCCGATGTATGACATTCCACCTGCTGAACAATTTTTCCCAAGTTTTTGATACAAAAACCGATATTTTAAGTGTTTTTTTTGGTTTTTGGAGATTTGACAAATAAAAAATACCTTAAGCGTCCTTTTGTTGTAACTTGGCCAAAATAAGAGGTAGAGCAATAAGATTGACTGTTTTGGACAGCTGGCAACCTATACTACCATCTACAATCGGTTTAGAGTCATTTATTTGGTTTTAATAAGAAAAATCGATTTTTCAAAATCGACTTTTTGAAAAATTAACGTTATGACCAATTTTTGCATTTTTGATAAGGGGGTACATCATCATTTTTTGCGAAAAATTGAAAATCTGAAAAATATTTAACTGAGAACGCCATTTGATTGGCAATTTAATGACGAATTCGCCGATGTATGACATTCCACCTGGTGACCAATTTTTCCCAAGTTTTTTATACAAAAACCGATATTATAAGTGCTTTTTTAGGATTTTGGAGATTTGACAAATAAAAAATACCTTAAGCGTCCTTTTGTTGTAACTTGGCCAAAATAAGAGGTAGAGCAATAAGATTGACTGTTTTGGACAG